GACTTGGCACTTACCTGGCCAACCCCCACAGTATAAGTCAAGTTCATGTGTATGTGAATGTGCACACAGATAAAAGAGAGCACTAGAATACAGATGCTACAGCTTCTGTTTGTTTGAATTGATTAATCCAGCACCTTAAGTATCCATCAGAACTATAAAAGTAAATTATAGTTTCTTCATTACAAGGAAAACAATGCAGCCATTTAAAACTGATGATGTAGAACTCCATTCATAAACATGGAAAAAGACCCCAATGTTATATGACAAAAGATTACCCAAAAAAAAAAAAAATGCATATAGCATATGTACGCCAACTTCTTTTTTTAATTTAGGATGAGAAAATGATAGCATTGTTCACCAAAGTTACTAATATGAGTTTAAAGTTTTAATCTGACCATTATGATTTTAGGTGATTTTTACTTTATTCCTTATATTCTTATAGGCTATTTTCATCTTCTACAATGACATATATTCTCATTAATCAGGAAAAAATAAATAAACCTTTCTCATTTGACAGGAAAAATGTCTGGTTGATCTCCAGGTTAAAATTGTGCCCAGGGTTTTTTAAAGGACAAAGAGATACAATCCAAGAAAAGTGGGTATTTCAGGCAGAAAGCAACATGAGACAAAGATGGACACCACAAGAAGTTTAAAAAGGCAAGAGTTCAAGAAAATATGTGACAAGAGAGGCTGGAGAGAGAGACTTGGACTAACTTATGGTGGGTCTTATCCCTCATGCTATCTATTGACTGTGGGTAACCAATAAAGGTGTTAAAACAAAAGGAGTCACATGGTCACATGAGCATTTTAGAAAAATAAAAATAATACAAAACCCAAGGAGGCTTGCAGTGTGAAGGCAACACTATTGGAAGGCGGCCAGGCTGGAAGCAAGAAAACCAATTCAGAGACTACTACACTAATACAAAGTCCTGGATTGAAGGTAATAGCAGCAGAGATGGAGAGAATATGCCATTGAACTTGATGGGGGAATACAATGGTACTAGACACAGAAGTGGTTTACTTAAACTAGGGAGTTCAGAGAAGGCTTCCAAAAAGGGTGTCCTTGTGAATAAGACTCTCAAGAAGAGCCCTTCATGAATATCAAAGACAAATGCAAGATTCCTTTAAATGTTTCCAAGAGAAATATCAAAGTATATTTGTTCATGCCCAAAGAAAAGACAAATAACGACGACACTGGTTAGTGTACTAAAAATCAGAGTTTTCAGCTACAAAACAGACTCACAACTATTAAGTAATAATAGGACTATGTAGACACATATCTCTTGCGGTTGACTTCGTCCAAGAAAAGCATATTACTGCCAGAAATAGAATACTCTAAACAGTGTTGGATTTCAGTCACACTTAAAAGTCACTTACAAGTCAAATACACATAGTTTCATACAGATTATTCTAGCTGCCCTCTTATCGCTGCTTTCCAAAATGCAATCTTTTAAATTTTTTAAATTACAATCATTTAAATTACATATGCTCATTATAACATTTCACACAATTCAGAAATGTAGTTCCTATACCCTCCATCAAAATCCTATCCTCTTTACCCTGTAATTATTAAAAATTTTTGAATCCCTGCTTTTCTTTGTTTATATAAACATGCCTACATAAGGTTTATTTAACAACAGTGGGTTCATACTAAATATATATATATATCACTCTATAACTTGTGATCATAGATTAACAGGTTTCAATATCTTCATTTTTAGTATTTGCAATAATGTGGACATGTCATAATTTGATATATTTGGGGACATTTCTGTCTTTTGCTCTTACAAATAATGCTATAGTTAATATTGTTATATTGTTATATATTTCTTTAGATATTGTTCCTTACAGATCTATCAAATAAATCCCCTGAGGAACAATTTCTGGATGAAAGAATGGTATTTAAAAAATAAATAAAAAATAAAAAATATTGCTATATTGTTTCCAAAAAGTAATAATAACTTACAGCCTCATCTATAGTTTGAGAGTGCTTCCCCCAGGCCCTTTATGGTATGAGAAATTATCATATTCATTTTTGCTTATCTGACTAGGTGGGAAAGTAATCTATTGTACATGTTCTTTGTCCATTTGCATTTTCCCTTTCGTGGACTGCCTGTTCCTATCTCTTCCCTTGATTCTGTTCAGTTGTCTTTTCTAATTAATTTGCAGAAATTTGGGCCTTTCATCATAGAAAGTTTTTTATATTTGTCTCCAATCTCCAATTAAATCATTCAATTTTTCCTCCCATGAATTCTGGATTCTATAACTTGCTTAGGCCTCATCTGATAATTAAGATTATTAAAATAATATCTGTATTTTCTCCTAATTACTATAATTTGGATTTTGTTCTGACTTTATATCCAGATCTTTAATTCATCTGAAATGTATAACTTAGTATCCCAACACCATTTATTGAATTATCCATTTTTAAATGCCTCCTCCTTAGATAGCTAAGATGACAGGTAAAATTCCAAATTTATTCAATGTTTACTCATTATTAAATATAGGAATACTGAATATTATTCAATATATGAATTTTTGGGGCCTCCTTGGTGGCACAGGGTGTTAAAGACAGTGCTATGAAGCTATCCCCAGCCAGGAAGCAATTAACACAGCTCAGCAGACCTCTCCTACTTTGCCTGCTGCTCCCCTCAGCAGTGTATGAGTAAATCTGCCTGTTCTGCTCTCCACTCTCTCTGGTGAATCCTCTCACCAACCCCCGCCCCATACACACCTCTAGCCTGTACCCCAGTTCTTATATGCATAATTAAATAAATCTTTAAAAATATATACATGAATTTTAAAATTCATACATTGGGACACAAGCATCAACTATACCAATATAATGTAAAATGGTTGTTTTTCTTAAACATAGCAGAAACCTAAATTAAATCAATGATCTAACTATATAAGCCTAAGCCTTTTTTTCCCAACATAAAAGGTAAAAATAGAGGGCCTCCCGGTGGCGCAGCGGTTGAGCGCTGGGTTGCGAAGCTGCCCGCAGCCTATGCAGTGCCGGTTCGATCCCGGCTGCTGCTCCCCGACACCGGAGGAGGGTCCCACATGGTGCGCAGACCTCTCCTGCCTCCGGCTGCTCCCCTCAGCAGTGTACTTCGGTCCTTCTGCCTGCTCTGCTCCCCGCTCTGGCTCTGGTGAATTCTCTCACCCTCCCGCGCTTCTGACTGTACCAAGTGCTTGTATAAATAAATAAAAAATAAATCTTAGAAAAAAAGGTAAAAATAGAATTAACCACAGTTTGAAATATCAAAATTACTCATTGAGTGAGATCACAAACATTTACTGAGCACCAACTGACAAGGGCTCCCTGCTGTCATGAAGCTTGTAGTCTAGCTTTCATGAAGCTTCTAGAAAACAATGTATCTAGGAACGAGAGAAATGTGTGTTCACACCAAGACAATGTAATGAAAAACATTCTAGTAAAATTTATGATACATTCAGTACTTTCCATTTCCAAAATACTACCTTATTTCCAATGCACCTATTTATCCAAGTGACTGTCTCTTTACTGTACTCATACAGAAAACACTGTCAGAAAGTTAAGACTATTTACAGACTAACTTATTATCCATCATGACCTATACCTAAAATATGTATTGTAGTCTCACTTTCTCAATTATTTCACTACAATAAATAGGAACCTCAATAGCAAAACATATTATAAACTTAACGATCAATCACACAGTCCGTCCATCAGATCAAAGGTGTTTCGACAACCCAAGTGCCCAAGGACAGATGACTGGATTAAGATATGGTATATATACACAATGGAATACTACTCAGCTATGAAAAAACTTGCCACTTGCCACAGCAAAGATAGAACTGGAGGGGATAAAGCTAAGCGAATTAAGTGAGAAGGAAAACAAAAACAAAATAAAAAAAACCACAAATGCTGAATAGTTTCAAGTACATACGGAATGTAGAGAAATGAAACAAAGGGTCATATAAAACTAAACCTATAACAAACCCTAGAAATCTGACTGTAGAAGCAAGGCTAGCAGGGGGACAGAGGTTTGGTGGAGAGCAAAGTGAAGGAAGCACAATGAACTATGATAAAGAACTATGGGTGTTTTGGTGGTGAATGTGGGTGTGATCTGAAAGGGTGTGATCCTCCACACCCTACTCTGAAAGGGTGTGATCCTCCACCTCTGAATGACACAGAGTTTACACCAAAAATAAAAAAATAAAAGCTGCTTCGAAAAAGGACATGCAGGGCCTCCCTGGTGGCGCAAGGGGTTAAAGCACAGAACTATGAAGCTATCTGCAGCCTCTACAGCATGAGTTCAATCCCCAGCCTGCCAGAGAGCTACCCACATGGCGCAGCAGACCTCTCCTGTGTCGCCCGCTGCTCCCCTCAGCAGTGTATTTCAGTCAGTCTTCCTGTTCTGCTCCCCACTTTGTCTCTGGTGAATCCTCTTTCCCCCCACACCTCTGGTCTGTACCCCAGTTCTTGTATGCATGAATAAATAAATCTTTAAAAAAAAAAAAAGAAAGAAAAAGGACATGCAGTGTTAAAGATTTCAATAAACCCTAGAGACTTAGCAGTATTGTATTACTTGAAAGCAAAAACTTCGGTGGCCCCTCAATGACAACAGCTAACAGGGGCGACTCATTACCGACAAGTCACCTTAAACTTCAAGTCCCGCGACAGAAGCGGCCTCACTCTAGTTCTGAAGCTTCCTGCGGCCACGCCCCCCTCAATTCCAACCCACCGCCTCCTCCACGCACCCCAGTCCCTAGCGCCCCAACCCAGGAGACTCCCGCCGCTGCGGCATGACCTTGGCCAAGAATCCAACTCTCAACTGAGCCTCCTACTGTGCCGGCCTCCATCCCGAGGCCTGCGTTCGGCATCTAAGGCCACAAGGTTAGGGAGGCTGGAAGGAGCAGCAACCCTGGACCCCAGGCTGCTCCTGCCGCCCCGGCCCCGGCCCCGGCCCCGGCCCCGGCCCCGGCCCGCCGCGCGCAGCCACCAAGCGCGCTACCTGCGATCTGGGAGACGAAGGCTTCCGCCACCAGAGACATGTCGGCGGGGCGGCCCTGACCCGCGGCTGCCGCTGCCGGCGCTTCTCAGCGGGCTCCTCCGCGACCCCGGCGGCTCCGGGATCCGAACAGGCTTGGACTGGGCTGAGACTCACACTTGCAAAGCCCACTCCCCGGCCACGGCGGCGGCGGCGAGGACCCCAAGGTTACCGCCAGGCCTGGGCAGGAACTTCCGGCGCAGCCGCCGCGGCGCACGGGCCCTTCCGCCGGCCCCGCCCCCGCCTCCCGGCGCGCCGGCCTCCGCGTTCCGCGCCGTGGGGCGCGATTGGCGGAGGGCTGGGGTGTGCGGGGTTGGGGTGCCTGGTTCGCCCCGCCAGCCTCCAGCCTCCAACCTCCAGGCTCCAGGGCGGGCGGTTGCAAGTCCGAAGGTTTTCGCACCCTTTCTGTAAGCGGGGATGTTGTAAACACGTAACATTTCTAAGTGCATTCTGGATACCTGGCACTTTTCAAGATATATACAGCCTTGTATACATACAAGATAAATTCAACAACCCAAAGAGATGATTTTGTCACTGCCCTTTTACATAAAGGAAACAGGGTTAAAGAGTTTCATCTGCCCGCTTCGGGAGTCACTCAGGCCCACATTCAAACTTGGGTTCATTTCCTCTGTCCCACTACTACCCTGGTAGGTTGATTGGAACTCAGTGTTTAGTGTTTACTTTATTCAGACAAGCTTACCCCGGGAGGAGGCGTGAGCGTCGCTGAAGCAGGGATGGTTTACCGTTTGACTCTGTAGACCCGCACTGAAGCTTACCTCGGGGCGTAAGATACTTGAGTTTCACATACTTCTCCCCTTTGGGGCATGAGAGGAGCAGGAAAAGGAGACACTAAATCCTATAAGTGACTTTTTAATCACTTACCCTAATAATTTCTTAAATTACATATACACAATTAAAGAAAATTGTGTACCTATATACACAGTTGTGTATATTGTGTACCTATATACACAATTAAAGAAAAACCAGACTATGTTACAGAGGCACAAAGAAGTAGCAGTGATACAGACTTCAGAGATCATCTGGTAATGAGAAACAGGCTCAGAGAGATGGTGACTCTTTTTCAATCACACAGTAAATCAAAATGATAGCTTACTAAGTTTTTAAAAAGGAAACCTGGTGTTCTAAGAACTACTGCCCATGACAGTTAGGAAGCTATGTCTCCTTTCTGTGTGCTTCCATCTCTTTCTAAGCCTAAGTTTATTGTTCATATGTCTGCTTCCTTGACTAGTGTTAGTTTCATAACAGTTTAGTACAAACTACGTGCCTTACAACAACAGAAACTTACTATCTCATAGTTCTAGAGGCTAACAGTCCAAAGTGAAGGTGGACAGGGGTATGCTGTAGGAACAAACTCTCTGACTCTTTGTAGCTTCTGGAGCTTGCCAACAATCTTTAGCCTTCCTTGCCTTGTGGATGCATCACTCAAATCTCTGCCTCCATCACTCGTGGCATTGTCCATATGCATGTATTTGTCCAAATTTCTTCTTGTATGGCCACCAGCTATTGGATTGGGGTCCACCCTAGTTCATTTTTTTTTTTTAAGATTTATTTATTTATTTATACAAGCACTGGGTACAGTCAGAAGCACAGGAGGGTGAGAGAATTCACCAGAGCCAGAGCGGGGAGCAGAGCAGGCAGAGGGCCCGAAGTACACTGCTGAGGGGAGCAGCGGGCTGCAGGAGAGGTCTGCCCGCCATGTGGGACCCTCCTCCGGTGGCCGGGGAGCAGCCAGGGACCGAACCGGCGCTGCAGAGGCTGCGGGCAGCTTCGCAACCCAGCGCTCAACCGCTGCGCCACTGGGGAGGCCCACCCTAGTTCATTTTTAACTCGACTTGGTTTCATCTTCAAAGACATATTTCTAAATAAAGTCACATTCATAGTTGTTAGGAACTTGAACATACCTTGGGCCTGGGGGAGACTAATTCTACCCACTCTGCCAGATCGTAAATATTTTTAAGGTAAGTCCCTTCAGAATTTGCATCAGCCTCAGAACATAGGAAACTTCTTTAAGTTTAAATTTACCCCAAAATTTATGTCAACATAAACATAGCAGTGTTTTAGGAAGTAGCATCTTCTCACTAGCTAAGACTCAGAGGTGACTAGAGGCTATGGGATTGCACAAATTCATGGAGGATTGGCTTTTTCTTGTTCTTGCTAAGGGAGTTAACACTGATAGTAAAAAATATATACTGTGGCCAGTTTCCACCTCCTCATCCCATGGGTGATACTGACCAAGAAAAATGAACTGTTCTGGTGTTTTGGTATCAACCAAAAGAAAAGCTTTCAGTTCCTATCTTTTTTTTAAAAAAAAAAATATTTATTTATTTATGCATACAAGAACTGGGGAACAGGCCAGAGATGTGGGGGGTGAGAGGATCCACCAGAGACAGAGTGGGGAACACAACAGGCAGACTGACTGCAATACACTGCTGAGAGGAGCAGCGGGGAAGTCAGGAGAGGTCTGCTGCGCAAGGTGGGTCTCCTCCCTGGCCCACCAGGATCCAGCACGTGCTGCAGAGGCAGCGATAGCTTCATAGGTTGTGTCTTAACCCCTTACGCCACCAGGGAGGCCCTCAATTCCTATCTTTTCTGCACAGAGAAGTATATGTATTTTGTCAAAGTGAAGAAAATCAGTCATCTATTAGAGTTCAGTTACAACTTTGGTTTGCCACTTAAAAAGCTGAAGATAAAATGTTTTGACTACTTTTTCGACACATGTTGGATTTTTAAAGATATTTCCATATCGCAGAACCTGTGTGAGAACCTAAGAATAATCCTTAGAGATTACTGAGGATTGGACAGGAAAACAAAATCAAACATGTCCAAAGGCCAAAAAGGAGAGTGGCCAGAGTCAAGGACTGCACATACATGCAAGAGAAACAGGGCAAGAATAGAGGCAAAGGAGAATGTGCCCTGGAAATTTTAGTTCAGTATCTGTGGTTTGATGCATGGTACATAGATGAACAGGGCTGCCTCAAAGGGCTTGGACTGGAACTGACATCCACCCAGTACTAGCAAGTTTTTTAGAAAAAACCAGGATCTGTTGGGGGCACTGCTCTCCTCAACCCTTTCTTCATTGTAGTCAGGGTAACAGAATCATCAGCACCATATGGATTCACTTTTGCTCCCTGACTGACAGTTCCTTTGCTTCCCACACAGGCTAATTTAGGCTGGAAAGAATCTATAATGTGGGAGGTCTTTATTACCAAAAATTAAATCCAATAAAATGCAGATGTCCTGACGGTGCCCACAAACAAGCTGTCTTTATAATAAATTGCCAACTGGAGAAAATATATTTATGCATCTGTATTAGAACAACTGGCAGTTTTAAAACTGAAGATCTGTTTAAGATCACCACAATTAAGGAAAATACAAGAAAACAAGCCACTGGAATTTTTAAGAATGAGGTTATAAAACAAAAGTGCTAGGGGATCCATATGTTACTAAAAGGATAATCACGCAATTACTTAAAATAAAATATTAATGAATGCCATTAACAGCCTTATTGTTTGTCCTAATAAAAGCACTTTTCTTGCAAAAATGTTCTGTCATAAGAATATTTTATTTTCACTAATCTGTATTTTGTATTACTATATTAAATAGAAAATATGCAGCTATCATGATGGATATAGACTTTATTAAGATTAAAATACTAAGGCATTTTATCTGCATTTCATTTTTCTCTGACAGAAAGTTAATACTTTAAATGTAAATGTTTTCTTTTAATAAAGTGCCTGTGAGAGAAAATTTGGGACTGGATTCCTTCAAAATAATACTATTTATGTGACAATGATATAATAAATGCAGGCCTTTTATCAAGTTGGTCCCAGCCACATCCCTAACCCTTGCCAATCAACAGAATTAATTGTGATTAATTCAGTCAACTCAAATACTATTGATACAGTTTTAAAAAACTGAGATAACCAAGTTATGCCACAGAACTTTTCTGTTCACAGTTTTTACTTCTTTAGAAACAGCTATGAGTGATGTAATATATGGGGTTTGCAAAAGCATTTCTTTAAGAATACAGAAATGTGGTAGCTATTAGTTCTTATATCTCTCAACTCCTCTGTCCTCCATTTTGTTCAGGATGATCAAGACAACTAAGTTCTTACTTTTTTCACACTTTCTAATCCAATCCCCTTGAACTTTTAACTTGCACACTCCCACATGAGCGATAAACATATTTGACCACACTTTGGAAAGTATCTACATGAGTGATTGTAGTTGTCCTAGGGTCATCAAATATTAATTCATTTTCCAAAGAAAACTAAAAGATATCAAAATGTTATATTTCCAAAATAGTCTGACATCTTGGGGTCTGTATGCTGCCTTACTTTCAGAGCGCTACAGTATTACCGTGAGCTGAGTCTTTTAACTACTTAGGGTGTAATTTACTTGTGGGTGATAAATGTCTTATCTACAGTTACAAGAACTGTATTGGTTAGGACTTTTTTGTTGCAAGTCATAAAAACAGTTAAACCTAACTTAAGCAAGTTTAAGTGTATTGGCTCATAGGAAGAGAAAAGGTACCAGTGTAACTCAGAGACCAGAAAAACTAAATTTAAGAACCAGACCTCACTTCTTCAGCACTGCCATTCTCCACCTCCCATCTCTATTCGACTTCATTCTCTTCAAGACTCACCCTCTCCCAAGTGGCAGGAAAAATAACTTCCAGCAGCACAATCTTGACAACTTCCTACCTTAGCAAGCCCAACTTCCATATATTAGTCCCAGAGGAGAATGACAATTACCTCGATGTTCTCACCTCCAGATTGAATACTATATATATATATCATGAATTTGTGCCATTATGTTCAAATTTGAACCACAAACTTCATTGTAACCTTCCCCTTTCTCTATTTGTAGCTTCTTTTTCTGACAGTGAAAGACCTGGCTCTCATTACCCAAAATGTACTTTCTTATTTGTTCAATCATAGATAAACGGTAAGTAGTTTCAGAATTGCAAACCCATATTCCCAAGAGAAACAACATTATTTCTGTCCAGGATTTTTTGCTTTGGTATTACCATTTATAGTCAAACTAATTTTTCAACATTAGTTATTTTCTTCCCCACCCACTTCAGTGTGATTATGGTATTTATTTAATAAACTTAGATTCATTTATTACTCCTCATATTCCATATAGTTTCCCCCAAGTCGTGGC